TTTCTATTCTTTCCTTCTTTTTTGTTCTTTCTTTGTTTCTTTGCTTTTCTTTCTAGTGTCTTTGTTTGTTTGTTTGTTTGTTTGTTTGTTTGTTTGTTTCTTGTATTTATTCTCTCTTTTTTTGAGATTCTTTTTCTGTTTTTGTGTGGTAGGGGAGAAAGGATTTTTAAGTAAGACAACCACATTATGTCATTGGTGACACATAGCAGTAGCGTCTCTCTTTGCAAAATGTTTCGACAGACAGTCTTGCTTAAATTTTCATTTTGTTTTATGAGACAAATACGCATTAAAGTCGGCATCATTCACGGATATATTGAAATCAAACCTCCTTTTATCGCTTTAATTCAAAATGAGATTTCATCTTTTTACATTTTATACTCACTGACAGACAATTGAATGACATTTTGAAATAAATTCGCAAATTGAAGTACAGCTTTGTTCCAACGTATGCACTATAAAAAGTGAGATAGCCAAAAGATACTTTCTTTTCGATGAATGAAAATGGGAGGTATAAATTCCTTATAGAATACATTTAAAGCATATACTCGCAGTTTTATATGATGTTTTCATTCATATTTTGGCACTTAGTCATGCACACCTTATCACATATAGCATATTGCACAGTTTTCAATCTATATCATACAGCTACGCATCAGTTGTATACTCAGACTGTCATAATATATAGAATACTAAAATATATTTATCTACTTATATCCTATCCGTATATACAATTTTATAATATTATACCTTTGTTCCGTCGCTTTCATTGGATAAACTATACACATGTGCACGGCTTCTGTGAAATTATGAAGTATTATCATGTTTTCCTCTAATAAATTGAAGTTTGCTGACAAATTTCATTGGTCCTGCATAAAAGGGTATTTACAATATAACCCTATATACAAAAAGCCTCATAGCTTGGCAAATGATATAAGGGCCATAAAACCATTCAAAATTTGACCAAAATATCGAAAATAATGTCAGAACTGATCAGGTACCCTTATTTTATGATATTCAATAAATGTTTATTATATTATATGATTATTGAAGTGTTCAATTGATACAATGTTTATATTTTTATATATTTTTGCATATTAAACAAGTATTTTTTTTTAAAAAAAAATGCCTTATGCCTAAGTCACACATTCATAATTTTTACTGCCGTCCTTGATAGGACCATTCCCGATTAAAATGTGTCAAAAGTCTGATCAAGATCCTGTGATTCGTGACTGGAAATTCAAACTTTTATCAAAATTTATAAAAAACATTTATTTAATCACGATAACAATCAGATATTGTTCAATAGGCTTCCCGGTCCAACCGTTTCCAGCAGAATTCGTCCCGATTATCCCGTTCTCAATCCAAATCTGATCCGATTTGTATCTTTGTCATGGTTAAGAACGATCGATTCTGTCCCGGCAGCGTCCCGATACTCCCGAATGCGATCCGACAGAGATCAGACAGTCACGAGACAATGAACCGACTCTGACGGAAGACATCCGTTAGAAAACCGTTTCACGTGATAGTCCCGTGATGGTCCCGTCCTATAAGAATTTCAACTTGTCTAATTTTAATTATGAATTTAATTTTTAAACTGCTTGCTAATATGCTGTATTTATAGTACAGCAAACTTGTATAATTCAAAAGTAATCTCTATTATCTGTATAATGATTGCAGAACATTTGTAAGATTTGAAATAATCTGTGTTAAGATTACAGAAAAAATGTTACCTCTTATTATTGAATGTTATAACATATTGATCAGACATAAACATTGTTCAAGATAAAAAAATATATTGTGTTTTCTTGTTTATTATTGTATGAAATTTTATCTTTTAAACTTTATTAAACCTATTAAATTTTAACTTTAACCTTTTGCCAAACAAGTGGCCTTAAATTATAAATTAGTCCAAACTAGGAGTTAACACTTTCATAAATAAAATAGATTTCAATTAACATTAAACAATATTTTATTTTGCTACACAAGTAATGCCACAGCTTAAACTCCGCTGTTATATTTAAAAGCCAATGATACATACAAGATGTGACAAATAATAGCACAGAGTTCTGTCATTTTATTATATGGTCTTCCTTCACGGCGAGGGTTGACAATCCTCATCTGCCAAGGTACAGATCCAGCGGCAGAGTTAAGATAATGTTTGAGATATTGTCTCTGCTTTTTTGCCCTGTATTGTTGCACGGTTAGCACTCTGAACATTGACAACGTCAAACATGTTTCGGCCCAGTCTCCATTCTCCGGGTACGATCCTTACGTCCTCGACATCTTCACGATCAACCTGGTTGATGTTCATGTTTGGGTAGCGTATTCTCATTAAGTTGTTGAAAGAGACACAAGCCTGTAAGATGATTCTCACATTGTCAGGAGTGTGTTGCATGGTTGACAACTGTATTTGAAATCTCTGAGCCAAGATGCCAAACGCATTTTCCACAACTCTGCGTGCTCTTGACAGCCTGTAGTTAAAGATCCTTTCTTCTACTTTCAGTTACGGAAAGGGAAAAAGGCTTCATCAAGTCAGTTCTCAGTTGAAAGGCATTTTCAGAAACAAAGAAGTATGGCATATTTCGCATCTCTAGGAAGTGGCTCATGATCAGGAAAGCCAATGGTCTTGTTCTGGAGGACTTCTTTCAGCTCACACTCGTTGTATATTTGTGCGTCTGAAGCTGCTCCATCTGGCCCAACATCAAGCCAAATAAATTTATAGTCCGCATCTACGAGGGTCATCGGGACTACGGAGAAGAAGCCATCATAGTTATGGTAGGTAGATCCGGTATTTAGTGGGCACTTGCACGCAACGTGCTTTCCGTCCAATGCACCGCACACACCACATGTGGGAAGTTCCATCTGCGGAGAAATTCATTTGCGATTTCTTTCCACTCCGCTGGGGAAGTGGAGCAGGCGATTACCTCTGCAGCGTACTCATCAATGATAGCTTGGCAGACTTCAGGGACAAACATTGACATGGTGTTACTGGGAACCCTGAAGTCCCACTTTATGCTGCTGTAACTGTCACCGGATGCCAGATGCCACATGGTACAGGCAAACTTCAGTCCTGGATCAAGGGCTTGCCTCCACCAGGTATCTTGTTTGGTGATGCGGGGTGTGATCCGAGCCAGGACTTCATCGTATAGTTCCATAGGCAGCCTCATGTAGTTGATGAAAGCTTATGGATCTTCTTCTCTCAGCTCCCTCATCAATGTGCCATACTGGCCGAGCTGCTCCCTTCTGTATATCCAGGTATGACCCAGTATCTTCTTTTTCTACCGTTTCCATGAGAGCAACCTGCTGCAGAAGTCTCCGTCTACGAACAACATTCATGGTGGACCGGTCAAAGTACTGTCAATGAATGACACACACACACAAACACATGTTATATATATACTCCATACGTGAGCAGCTCAGCCGAATCTGGTCATCCGCGCATCTGGAATCCTACAACTGTCGCCATATTCAGGATGATCGGGACACTGCCGGAACGCAATCCTATTACAGTCTGCTGTACCGCATTGCACATGCCTTTGTCTGGACTCAGTCGTATCGTGTTCTGTAATTGTCGTGACTCTGACGTGGGTATTATTGCCGAATTTCGTATTAATTACTGAACATTTCCGGAACGGATTCGGCAAAGACGGTTCGCATTCGGCAAGATCTGGATGAATCTGGACTCAATGAACAAGAAACGACAATGCAAAATTTCTCCAGGTCATGCCCGTTCCACCGGACACTGACCAGACAACACATGACATTGTTACGATTTTGATCCGATACAGCAGAATCTGTCACGACATAGTCACGATTGTAATCCGACTAGTCACGATTATGATCCGACTAGACAAAATCGGCTGTGTTTCCCGAATATTACGGGACGCACCTAACTGTCGGGAGTGCTTGGCAGACCTCTGCGGACCAGTCCCGATCCGTAGGACTCTGTTACGAACATATACGACTGCGTTTAGACAATGATAGGACATTCCAGATCAATGAGGATAGTTATCCGACTTTTTTGCTTTTCGTGTCGTAGCGCTGTCTGATCTCCAACGGGAGCCGTAATCGGCACTGTGTGAACGCCGCATTACTGATTGCGTAAAATTGATTTTACGTACCGAAACACGACAGGTTTGTTTAGACACACATACATGTATATGGAAAACAAATAACTAACATATGCAATGTAACCGGTTTTACTTTGGTCGAGTATCTTTTTGTAATGATACATCGTAGTTCTTGTTGTTGTTTTTTTTTTATCTTTTTTGCGCTATGTTAACAGTATGCAGTTTTCATGGGTTGGAAAATGATATATAGAAATACAGCAACTTGTAGACTGTAATATCATGTTTAATATTAGATTAAATCATTTTATAAAACCAACTTCATTAACAAATCGGTCAAGGGGGTTTAATTTCTTTTTACAGAATATGAATATGTGGAACACAGTTCTCTCCCTTGCCGATGCTGCGTATATCCATTGAACAAGACTTGTATTTGCTCATATTGTTTATTTGTTATAAACATTGTTTAATGTTTCAGGTGAAAAATTGATATTGTACTATGCACTCAGTATATTTAATTCATTATGTTTTAATTACCTAAAAAACCTGAATTTTATAATTCCACCACATACACTCGCCACACTTTTAACGGTTTTGTTTTTGTTATTTTGTTGTAATGTTTATATTATTTTTTTTTCCTTTTTATATTTTGTTATGTTTAAAAACATATGAAAATCATTTGATTTTGTTATTGCGTACATAAGATAAAATAAGATAAAATTATTCTCTTTGCGATCGATCTAAATATACTTTAACACGCGAGTGAAAACTATACGTATTCGCCGTTTGGTTTAACCATATTTTATTCGATATATTTACATTATGATGCCGTTTCTAATGTAAACAAAGGGACGTGCGTTGGTATAAGTCACTGTTACGTTTACAAATGTAGATAATAAATGGAATGACATGGAATGGTACAAACAAGGTGTTATCATAATTAGTACATACACAGCCTTTATTGTGTAACCTTATGTCTGCCAATTATGGACAATAAACAAACGTGAGCAGACAAATAAATAATGATCCCGTGTCACCTTGAGAAATTGACAAGCGTGTATAGTATCAGTAAGTAAAGCGATAAAATGACCCGGATTTACAGATATAAATAGAATCGGTTTACCTTACGCTTGGATAACATCAATACCTTATCGGTGAACAAGCAAAATGTTAAGGATATTGTATTATTAGTTGTAACAGCAGATGGCAAAATTTGTGTCACTTAAAAGAAGTAAAAGTGAGCAGGATTTAAACGATTCGCCAACATCGGAGGAGAAAACACACAATGGTATATACATTTATTTTTGTTTTAATTTATACAGAGATCTAATGTTTATCTATAAGTTTGCAAAGACAGGCATAAATTACTTTATGTCTTTTGATAATGTACCCAAATTTCAATTGTATTAACCCAATTCAGTCATGTCCTTATTTACAAGAATATGTTTCGGATTATTGACTTAAGACACGGGTGTTAAGCAGAAGACGAGTTCCGCCGATAAACGTTATTGACAAAAATCCGTCTGGATTGTGTGAAATACACAGAAACTGAAAAAATGCAACTATTGGATATTCTCGTCACATATTGCATGATACACAATGTTTATTACAATATAAACATATGTAACGAGTCGGTTAACGGTAGTTTTCACGAAATCGTTATATTTATTTTACTTACACAGATTCACCTATTTTACTTGTCGTACGTTGTCATATAAATTGGGACAGTCGTTTTAAATGTGTTTACATATTAAGGGATATACACGAGAAATAAATTGCTACTCAGATGACACTTTCTGTACTCTATAGTCATTTTGAAGCAAAGGTCTTTATTGTTTTTTTTGTTAATTTTCAGGGATTAAACTTCTGGTTCAGTTAGCTGAGGGCGACCTCCCGGTACTCGAATTTCTGAACGACTATATACAAGACTTTTTAGACGGCAGTTATCATGGAAACACGGAATTTTACCTGCGATCTCATCAATTTGTCTCACAACTGGAGCAGTTTTACCGCGAAAAGAACTCCCAGTGCCCATATTATCTTATATCCTTTTTCCGGCACATCATTACTCTTGTATCAGAAACGTTGTTTCTTTCTGCGTCAAGTGACGTTTGTAAAGTTGCTGTAGACTCAGTCGTGGTTACTTCACCCAGGGTCAAGGTCAGATTACGAGATTTACGAGCAAACGTTGCTGAAATTCAGGACTTGACTATTAAACTAGAAATTGATATAATTAGGCATTTAAAAGATAGTAAAAACTTTCATTTAAACAAATTTGATTCAAAAGCTGTGATAACTCAAACTGAGCAAATATGGCGGTTACTTCGACGATGTGAGACACCGATGAAGGACGTTACCATGGCAGTAGAAAAGAAAGCGCTCGCTGACAGGGGTTTCTTTCAGAAAGCGTCTTTGGGGATAGGGGCAGTTTGTGCAGGTAAAATAAATTTAAAGGTGCTTATTATTTCTCAATTTATTTAAATTGTACAGAATGGAAATAATTAAATGGTTAGTTCAATATGTTTGATATGAAATTTGAATTTGTATTCGTATAACGGAACAAGTCGGTTCGTTAATAAACTGGTGTCGTCTGTTAGATATGCAAATAAGCTCATTTTATCCATCTGTTTTTTATGTGCATGGACAATTTTAAATGCAAAAAATATTAATATGATAAATGATAAACACTTTAACACTTTGCCTGTGATAAATGAATAACTTTACTACTTAATTTGAAATTATGTTTAACTGTATAAGGCATTACGGAATAGGTTTATTAGGGCCGCATTTCATACACTGTAATGGAAATTTCTGGGAATACTTAGGTGTTTTTGTTTTGTTGTTTTCTGGACATCTGAAATGTACTTGGGCCTTAGGAAAGATGCTCAAAGTTATGGCACGACATTATTGTTGTGCTTGTGGTATTTTCAGTTTCAATTTTTCGGCATTTTCTAGTTGGGTGGTTCCAATATTCCGACTTGAATAATGTTGAATCACCCTTAGGATATGTTGCCTGCTTTTTAAATTTGTCTTTTGACGTCTTATCTGTGATACGCAGGCTTCATAACCTCTGATCCCCTTTCAAAATTCCATTTTATTTAGTTCTGCCCATTGTTTTCTCGTTTAGGGCACACACATTTTTTTAATTGGGGACCATACGCCGCTTTTCATGGAATGGCACTACTGTGTCACATTGAAGGTTCCATGATAACCGCCGTATGAACACATCTGCGGATGTTTCTAAATTCAAAATTTTACTATTTCATGTTTAAATGTTGAATTCTGCTTAAGCCGGTGCTAGGGGGCGTGGACGGTAACTTGCACTTTCCAGTACCGTCCTTGAACAGGCTCAATCAAACCGAGCCTGCAACATTTTCAATTTTGTCGTGTTGGACTTTCTTTAGGGATTCTGTATTTATCTATTTTTAATTAATGAAAAGTGTAATAATAAAACAACAAATATATATTAATGATAGAACATTATTGACTTTTTCGTATATTATAAAAATTATGATGAAATCATTTCTATTTGAACTTAATTGTTTAGGTTTTTTTTAAACTTCTTTTCGATAGTTACATATGTTACATCTGTCTCACCCTGCTACAGTTATACAACTAAATTTGACTAGATTTGTTTTATTGAACAATATTTATTTTTAAATCCTCAAAATTACGTTATTGATAAAGATTGTCTATCAAGGTTATGTTGTTTTGTATGCTGTATATTTAAAAGGTCGTTTCTTGTGGTCGTTATGGCAAGGTGAGGACCAAGAACAACTAATAAACGCAGCTTTGTGGTCGGTTGGTACGGGTGTTTCTGGTGCAGTTTTACAGATACCACGAGCACGTGCAGATAGAATCCTAGAAGAACTGGCACGACAGAAAGGAAAGAAAGAAGACTTGCAGGACATACTTAAACATTGGCTTATAGAATCAGATGGTCTTTGTGCAAAGTTGGTCCTTTACTCTTCTTTTAGCGGAAAGTAATTCTAACACGAAAATTGACTGAGAAATTGAAGCTTATTTATTAACACGCATTTATATCATTTCAATGTTCTTATTAACTTATTGTATTTTTCTGATATATAATATAGTATTTGAATGAAATGATATTGTAACAATTTTCTTGCCATAAAGTTCAGTGGAATCCATCAATGGCCATTTGTTATTTCCCTTTTTATTGCTTTGTGAACTTCACTCAATGTAGTGCACACTGACTTTAATGTGAAACATATTTCGGTAACAAATATACATGTTCGACTGTTTTTTTTTAACTTTTTTTTATTAATATTGGGTGTGTTTTTTTTTATTTCTAATATATTGCATAGATAAGAATAGAAACAAGGTGTTATGGGTTTTTTTGTAAGGGTATCTATAATGAATGTATTATTTTTAAAAGAAAACTGTTTTATTTAAAAATGAAATGTCACGGTTCAGAACTGTTCACTAATTAGGGGAGAAGATGTGTAAGCGGCCGGATAGCTCAGTCGTTAGAGCCGCGGAACGGTATTCCGAAAATCCCGGGTTCGAGTCCTGGTCAGGCTGCACATTTTTCTCACCCTGTGACAGAAATATTGTCATAAGTCATTTACGGGTTTATATAGTTCGAAGTGTAATATTTCCTAAAGAAAGATATGGCAGACGATAAGATTTTAGGATTTCTTGACGGGTTGTACTCGGTGTCTGACTGGTTAGTGTTTCTTACTTGGAAACGCTCTTCTTCTCACCGCCATTGGTTATGATTTCGTTAGGGACTTTTCGGTTTTGTATCATGTAAGTAAGCTGGATTTTTAAGAGAGTAATTCTTAAATGTGGCACAAAGGGACACAACTTGTGTCTTTTTCATCCAGTGATGTTGCAAGTTCGATATAAGACTATTACTGCGTTCATGCTGATGAAGTCTAAAGCCCGGTCCGAAACAGTCTTTCATGCACTCTTTTATTATTAGAAAAGAAACATTTGTTCGTCAAATTATGTCATTCTTTTCGGTAATGTTAAATGAATGCTTTATTGAAAACTTATTTATGCATGTACTACATTACTCTACCCTTTCTTGTATATCATAATATTTGTTAGACGATTGTTTGCCATTGTAAGGTCAGTACATAAAAAATTGTTAATGGGAGCTTAAGTAAGCAAGCACGCTGGAAAAAAATCCTATATTTTTAGCGTTTTCTTTCATCCAAAGCATTCTTTTAGGCGATATATAATTCATCCCTGGTGTTTTCAGTAGGAAATGCTATTTAAAATATACCTTAATTAATTCAAAATTAAACATGCTTGCATTCGTCGAGAAATTTCGTTACAAAACATGTATTTGGGAAATAATTATTTTTCCCAGATAGCGTGATATGTCACGAAATCCACATACTCTACTACGTGATAAAATACCATGGCAAGCGTGTCACCGCTTATTTCAATTTATAACATGCATGTTAAATAGATAAACTGTTCATTCTCTTATCTATAAGTATGTTAAAGTAAATAAATCACTGATTATAACTTACTTGCATATGAATGTATTTATCTAAATGATTTATCTATACAATGGACTGATGTTGAATGGTGTATCACGATTTTAAGGATTTTCCGGAATATATATTAATATATATCTGTTTGTTTAACTGCTTATGGGATGAATGGTGAATAAATAAGGTTGAACCTATTTTTAACCCGCTTTATAGAACGTATATATATGAGGTTAATAAAAACTTCACATGTTGATATTATCCTAACAATACTAATGCTGTATTATAATATAAGCGTTATGAAATGAAAGTTCATATTTCTGAGTACAATCTGAATTACAATTGCTAATGTGTATAATTATCAGTATATTTAGGATCTTCTGCTAAGTTTAAATCTAAACCTGAGCTTATAGGATAATGACAAATAATCTATGAATTGCTGGCCGTTGAGTTCAAACCCCGTCAAGGGCAAGCCGTATTTTCCGTGAGCAAGAAACTTTAAACTTAATTCTCAGTACTGGTTGGATCAATAAACGGATTCGAGAGAGAAAGTTGGTAGCTTGCTACATAATCGACCTTAAATAAATTTCTGTATGAACTAAAGATAATTAAAAATGTAAATTAAACATTCTATTAACATGCAATTTTGAAACAATGATAGATGCTATTTTATATGATTATAATAATTGTTAAATATTATATAGTATCCTAGTTGAAAAGTGTTTACGACCGACGGAAAAAGTTTGCACCAAAACAAATGTCTGTTTGTTGATTGTTTTTGTTTTATATTTAATTTATTAATTGTTTTTGCTGTGTTTTTGCTTCATATGTCCACGTGCCGTGTTTATCTACAATTCATGAAGCTTTAGAAAGTGCTACATTACATAAAAAATGCATTTTACATTGTGTAAGATTAAAAACTCGTGCACAATATTGTTAAAAGATTAACATACAGACTTATTTGTTTGATCAATGCAAAAGTTTACATACCCATTGTTATGGTATTAATTTATTCTACTGTTTAATTAAATGACTATTTCATTATTTTGTTATACGAAGACGAGCATTATGTACTAGTTAGTACCTTCCGACATCTATATGTATATATATATTATTTTCATATAAATGTATGTCGACAGTCATATTTGAATGAAAGAACGCCGAACAATTTTCATCGTTAAATGAACTTACAACTAAGTAAAATATAGTACTTAGAGTATAACGCTTATCTCCCCTGTTGGGTTACTGTCAAAATGATAGTCACATACGTTTAAAGATCCTGTATGTTTTGTAATTGAGATTGTATACCACTCTTCATTGAATTATATATGTATGTAATTATGCAAAATTTGTCAATTTTCAAACATGGAAGAATATGTAAAATATGTATTGCAAATATTTGTACATATTCAAGGTAATCATTAAATTATATGCATTCATTTCTTATTGGAAAAATTGACTTAGAATTTATAGAAAACTAAATTCTAATTACCTCCCTTTATTTACATGAAATATTAAATTCGGTAATATCTTTATAAATAATGTTTTTTGAAACTTACAATATCGATAAATCTTAATTTAAACATCATAATTTGTATATAAAACCATAAAAATAATGTGTTACAGGATCTTTAAGGTGATAAATATCATTAATTTTAAATTGTACATTTAATAAATAATATTTAATTTTAAACATGTTCTTTAGTGAATTAAACTAAAACGATTCATGTATTATATAGCTTTTCTTCATAACATCAAAATTCGCAAACTTTAGTTCATATTCATATTTAAATATGCAGCTTTTACCTCCCTTGTTTTGTTCTTATTTTGAATACTTATATATTTTTAATTATAATGTTTTGAAATTTGGTTAGTATATTGTTGTTTTTGTTTGTTTTAACAAATCTTAAATGCCATATTATACTCTCAATTTTACCCAATTATTGTTGTTTTATTTTGTTGCTTGTGTTGTTTTTGTTGCATAAAGTTGTGCATTTACTACCTCTTATTAAATGGAAATGTAAACCCCATATTTATCTGGAGATTAAAAATGTTTTACACTGATATTTCTTTTTTCATCTATTTTCGCATAAACGTATATCACTCCTTTACTTACATTGAAACTTATAAAATTACATTGGTTTTATAAGTTAAATATATTTGCGCATGATTCGTAGGCGTAAATTTCGTGATTTCCATAGGTAAACTTAAATCACCTGCATAGAACTCAAATTGGGACACGAAGTCATAGTTAACATAATGCAAAAAGTAGTTTTCGGCGAATTTTGCTACATGTATCACAAAATATAAATGTGATTTGTCAATTTTAGATTAAACCTATTTATTTGGTTCGATTTTGAAATAAGCACTCTGTCTGCATCCATAAATTAGATTAAACCTATTAATTTAGTTCGATTTTGAAATAAGCACTCTGTCTGCCTCCATAAATTGATATCCCGTTTAAAAGGGTCACCTTTTCGTTATATACATATTATGCCTCAGAAATCCATATTTTATATTCGTTAGAAATGTCAAACATGTGTTTGATAAGGTAAGCTCTATTTATGTATCGTAAAGGTAGCAGAATGTAAACAAAGTAGTATTTGACTTCCATACAAAATACTTATTTACTTAAATTATACTTATTGTTAACAATGCAAAAGATGTATAAGATAGTTCAGGTATTTAGCAAATTAGTATATTTTTGAAATTGTAACAAGTACCAAAACATAAACACATTTTGGGAAGTTATGATAGCACTTCTTAGGCATAAAGGGCCTTTGATTTATTTTTTTTCAGTGTGAAGTACAAAAAAGCTAGTTGATTGTGGGAAACGATTTTCTATTTACGTTGTATTAATTAGAATTGTTTTATTGCCGCTTTTTCTATTTGTGAGCTTGAAAGTCGTTATACTTTTATTCTAAATTATCATGAAATTGTATCTTTATTCCTGTTTTACCATTATACAAAAGTATTTTAAATGGGGACAACATGTAGCTAGTATAGAGTTGCAACGTAGATATACTATGTGAATTAAAAAAACAACAAGGTGTTAGTGACCTAGAATGCAGAGACACAAGCAAGAAAATATCTTTGTTTTATTTACCTCCTGACTTCATTGATAGTACAATATAGGAATCATTATCACTGTTGACTATGTGAAAACTTTTACGACTTCTGCGTAACTATTTGTGTCAAAGGAGATAATTCTGATCTAAAGATGCCGTAAGTTACCTTGAAATTTTACATTGTATATTGAAATGACCATGGCAAATCAAATATAAACTTTTACGAGCCTGACTTTTATAACCAATGTTATTGTAAGTTATCTTTACTTCGTGTCAAAAATTACTTTGCTACAGAAAAAGAGGCTTTTATCAGTGATATTACGTCATAATTATCCATTATTTAACATTAAAGGACGATTAGGGGTCAGAAATGCTATCAAATTTATTTTATAAAGGATAAAATATCTTTAAAACATACTGACTTTTTTTTAAAGATATAGATGTTTTAATTTTCTAACTTAGTCATCTACATGGGCAATGTTTTCCTTTAAAGTAGACGACGGCGAAGGTTAATAAATATGTATTTTACATTAACACAATATTGTTATATATGTTATGTATTAAACGTCTATGCATGGAGTCAAATAAAGAAGAAGACAAATAATTTTTATTTCATTTTCTTTACTAAAACCTTAAAAAAATCAAATGCGTTTTGCTTAAAACAGCAACAATATATAATATCAACTATATTATTTAAAAAAATCAAACAGATTTCTAAATTATTTTAGTACATCAACAAAAACAAAGAAGTGTCAGTTATACGACCACACGTTACGCAAAATAAAGGAAATGGTGATCAAAGAAAATTACAATAAAAGCAGGGCACGCCCGTATTTAAACATATAAATTATAGTTAATTATATAGAAAATAATTTTAGCTCTAAGAAATAACCGTTCAGTAAACATTATAACATCAATATAGAATGGTCAATAAGCGTCGTGCTATAAGTCTTTATAACCGTGTAATATCAAACTGTAACGCTGAGCAATGTATGCAATATAAATTTCTTAACAGTGCAATATGAATCATTATACACGTTAACATATATCTGGTATACAATATCAAAACTATACAATAACAATACAATTTTAACAATCAAACCTAAAAAATCAGTGATTTGAAACGGAATAATTCTAATATAGTATTTAACGTGCAAAAACAGTGTGCCAAATGTAGTAATAAGCTTCAACAAACATACACATTGTAAAAAATAATAAGGGAAAAGGCTATTCAGTGGTGTGTTTAAACACATATGTAAAACATGCAATAACACAAATAATTATTATATGAGGCTATCCTCACTTCAGTATGACATTTATATGTTGATTCATTATATGACTGCTGAAAATAAAATACATTAGAATTAATCTAACATTTTACTCTGCAACCTTCACTTACAGTAAAAATTTCTTAAAAAATCCGAAGCATTTTGACGAAGAAAACCTAAGAAAGAAATGAAATAAAAATTAGTCAAGTTTTATTATGTACATAGAACTCTCGCAAGACTTTCGTTTTCAATCTTTATCCTGAAATTCCAAAAATTCGCAACATAAGATTTCAATCTCAGCAGCCTGTACATCCTGAAATTTGAATATGTTCTATATAAAGAACTCTTAGTATATAGAAAAATAATCATATATACCTAATTTCCAGATGATTAATAAGAAAGAAACAATTTCACCTTTTAAATATATCAATCTTTTATTGGCATTAACTCGTTTTAGAATTTATTTGGTTAAAACAATATTCGTATGAAAAATCACGTTTGAAATATCAATCTATATAATGTGTATATTTTTTTATTTGATTTTTCAATTACCAAATACTGTATCAATGTGTTTATCCGGAATACCAACAACCAAGCGTCCAAAGAGTCCATGGATCTTCAACTTCTGTTTGTAACCTTTCACTGAAAATAAATAATTATGTAACGTATAAGCAATGTGCTTGAACGTAAGGTAAATACAATTTCAACACGCTGCACACTATTCCCTACTAAACAAATGGTTTAAAGGGACTCCACCGATGTTTAAAAGCCTAAAAATATAACATTTGAATACCTTACATACTTGAGCTAGGGCACTTTAAACAGAAATATATGCAAAGATGGTAAAGACATATACTTTGAAATAAATTAAAAATCGTATGTTTATGCATTTCATAGCCCGATTGACTGACAAGCGTTTAAATGATTTTCATTGTTTTTACAATTTAAATAATTATTCTGGAAAAACGAATGATCTGAAATTTATTATGTTTTTATGCATAACGGTATATTTAGATATCGTTATAGCACAAATATAATTCTTGAAGATAAACATTTAGTGAATTACTTAGTTAGTGGAATTATATATCCTGCAACATATGGCTGATTGACACCTTATCAGCATTTAAAAGTCCTTTATCTATTATACTTATCTTCAAGCTAGGTCTTACCATTTTCAATGGGATCCATGTAGAATATATGGTCCGAATCTACGTTACAGAAGTCAGCTATACTTTGTATAGAAAGAGGGTCAAGGTTTGACGGGAATACCTTCTTTACTTTGTAGTAATTTGTTGATTTCGGTGCATTTATTGTGGTCTGTAAAGGAAAGAAATTAAATGTATGCGTAAAGAAAGCGGTAAATGGATAAACATCATTTAAAATATTATTACTTTGAAAAATAAAGAAGCAAGTGAATCGTCCCTTAGGTTGAATTATGACAACGAATTTGAATACCTCGGTGTGGGATACTTTAACATCTTGATCATTTTGATATTATCCCTCGCGCACAATCAAGAAATTTTTAAATCAAAATTTGTAAGAATTTTCTTTTAATATAAAAAGTAACATTAAGACTCAACTTGGTGAAGTTCAATTAGACAGGAGTCACCGTGCATATCCAGTAACGCAGGAATGTGCAATTAACGTAAAAGTAACACCGCATCTGTGCAACGCTATTGCCAAAACGAATAACACAGTAAGTATACGAACCAAAATATTTTATTCTATATAAAATTTAAAGAAATGAATTAGCGCATACGGCTGCTACGACATTATACTTTAACCAGCATGACAATTTTTTTCAGGAATGTGTTTACTACTTTAGATCATTCGTGAGAAAGACAACCTGATTACCGTTTTGAAGGTGACCTTTCTGTTTCGTCAAATAAATATGTACATTTAATTAAAACACATTTAAAACTTTATTTTTTTTCATATTCTGTATACCGTTAGATATTTTGTCAAACTAGAAGTGCCGTATAACAATAGAAGGAAGCTAGTAAAATAGGATATAGCTACTTTTAGAGATAACTACGAAAGACCGGTGGGGACATTTCAACTTTCCGATTTCATCCCTGCGAATTCACAATTTTAACTTCGTGAAAATTCACGTTTTCAACATACGGAGTTCACGATTTCAGCTTCATGAATTCACGATTTCACCTTCATCAATTCACTATTTCAACTTCATGAATTCACGATTAACTTGACGAATTCACGATTTCAACTTCACGAATTTAACTTCGTGAATTCACGATTTCAACTTCACGAATTCACGATTTCAACTTTACGAATTCACGATTAATGAAGTAGAAATCGTAAGTTCGTGAAGTTGAAATCGTGAATTCACGAAGATGAAATCGGAAATTTATGAAGTTGAAATGTCCCTACCGGTCTTTGGTAGATAACCGCCGTTACTTCAGTGCTTCATTCGGCGTTACCTCGTAAAAATGGTCTAAATTACGTTTTATCTGCTAATTTTTGTGTAATATGATACGAGTAGATTGGAAAATGTCTCAGGTACACCGAATACAAAAAAAAATCATAAAGTAATATGTAGTCTACGTTATTGTATTTATAGATACATAGATACGAATGATCTTGAAAAATAAACATTTTCATGGAAATATTTTTAATGAGGTTCAAAGTAAAATGTCTCAGCAAATGTATGCGCTAATTCATTTCTTCCAATTTGGCGCACCATAATAATATTGATCCATTTACTTATCGCGTTGCTCGTTTTAGCCACTAAATTGCACAATTATGCGTTACTTTAGCACACAGCGTCATTTACACATTCCTGCGTTACTGGATATACACGGTGATAATATGCAAGAAAAAGATTCAAACATCGTCTGTCGGTATAGACGGGAATATCTTTAGCTCTCGAGTAACTGTTTAGCTTACACTTACCATCGAGCTAGATATTCCAATCTGTAACGGCAGCCGGTTCTTATAGGTCGATTCTTAAAACTGCTTGAAACCTTTTCAAACCAATTAAAACAGGTGTCTTATCACGACGCCCATGATCGATTAAAACTCTTGAACTAGATTAAGGACATTCTAAAATATTTTTTGGAGTGTTAACTATACAATTTACTTATCAAACTTAGAGTGAATAATAGTTTAGTGTTTACTATATAATTTACTTATCAAACTTATAATGAATAATATAAGCACAAAATATCATACCCCATGCCGGTTAGTTACAGCTTTTTCTGTTCCAGGCCAGTATTTTACCACTTGTGAAATGAAACAGACTTGACTGCCTTTTGCCACAAGTGGTCTAATAGCAACTATTCCCTGAAATATAGAACAGAAATGTAATATACTATTAAAAGCAACAAAAAAACTCTTCATTTTTTATGTGAAAAACAACACAACATGTACTGTAAATGGTGATGAATTAAGACATGGTTAGTGTGGTGGTTTTGGCAGTAAGCCACTCTGAATTTACCAAACACAGTTTAGCCACCGTTTGTCAATCAGTTACTAGACTGAGTACTAATTGCCTTCACTTTTGCAAGGAAACGATTACTTCTGTACATGCCAGAACAGAGGTACAGTGCGAATGACCGTAGAACGGATTTTATGATCAATCACAAAGAAAGTGTCATGCTCCGTCCGGGAATCGAACCTGGGTCACTCGATTCACAGCCTGGACAACGCTCTTCCTACTGAGCAAACCGAACGGCCGAATTAAGACGTCTTCGTGTCATTTTAGTACACGAGTTGTGAGATGTGAGAGAATAAATCTTAAGTGCATTGCTCTAAGTTGCCTTCGTCGAAACTTATCAAACTGTACCGTTTCAATAAGAATAAATATATTAAAAAGTGTACAGAATAATACGTTGTTGGGTGTAATACCGGTATTTAAACATGCATATTTGTTATCGAAACATTCTCTATAAATATGCATTTTTGGAATTTTGTAAAAAAAGAACTTGAGATACGACAAGAGACAATTACTACTGACTGTCTTGTCAACGTGTAAATGTTTTGTGTTTTTGTGTCGTGTTTCCTTCGTTTAAATTGTAAATATTTCTAATCCCTTTTATTACCCTTCAGCCCCCGCGTTCCCAAATAAATTCATCCTCACTCCCTGTAATTTTCATAGCTATTTATAACACTTCGTATTAAATGATCAGATTTTTAGGGAACACGTAACATGAACGGCGGTGTCCTTAATGATCTAAACTCTCATATTTCTTTGGTAGATGATTTGTGCAAACTTGTATTTTTGCTCCGTGGGTCACCGGACAAAAACACGAATATACGATATTATAATAACATTTTATCGTACTTTCGCTATGCGGGGTGAGCAATTGAGGCTCGGTCGTATTTTTGTGATTTTGCCTTGCCCTCCGCTGGACGAAAGTTCGAAAGAGTGGTGGTTGTCTTATTTTTGTGTTTTCGCCTGTCGCCCCTGGAGCGAAAATACAACATGGCACAAACTAGCCACATTATTAAATATTTTCTATATGATCATGTTTGGCCGGCTTGCTTGTTGACTCTAAATGTTTTTAGGAATCGGGGAATCATTTTTGGTAATATCTTAAGCAGTGGTACCGGTATACATGTAATTTTATTACCCTTCCAGATTTTTTCCGCCTTTTTGATTGGATATTGATCACCCGAAAGATATTGATATAACCGAGCCAGACGGGTAATATACACCTTAAATTTCCCTGTTGGGTACCCAACGTTGTAAACAACATGCGCTGAGGTGATGCGCGTACGGTTCGATTTTACGCGGTGTAAATTCCGATTTACAAGCACTTTTTAACTGTCCAAATGATAAATATTTACCAAAGTAGAGAATGATACAAATTCCCATCAGTATTCGAAAACAATATGACCATGTAAAGCGATATTAATTACAAAAAAGTGCTTTCAATAGACTAACTCCTTTTTCTCTGGTTACATTCGTTAGGTACGGAAAAATACGTCATGGTTTTATGCGTGACGTCAATGTTGTGATGAAGAGGTACCCTAAAGGGAATCTTATTTCAACGTTTCATTTGAAACAGCAATGATTTTTTTAAAAAAATCTTCTAAAACCTCGGCAGGGGAAGGGTAATAAATTATTATTTTGGTTTTGCAGTGATATATGTGGATATATTACCTGCCAAGATATATGTAATACTATCCACATTATATCACCCAAAACCAAAAACATATAATTATCGTCAAACGTATGCTATGTTTAATGACGTTACCAACTGTCCGTAGATTTAACATTCTACCTGGTAAAACATTTTTCAACATTGCTAAATTAATGCACAAAAGAGAAAGTAAAATCTTAGTTCAGAAGTAAATCATGGAAGTCTTCATATGACCTTTACATTGTCGATGATACTTATAAAATAAAAAAAAATCAAAGACAGAAACAAATGAAAAATATTTTCTATAATTTTACGTACCTTTTTAAAATCATCTTCTCGCGTGTTAAGATCATAAAGGCTGACAGCCGGGGAACTTTTTGCCGAGGCGCTTTCATCTGTTGCATAGTGGGTTATAGTTTTGTCAAGTTCATGAATTTGAGCAAACTCCTTAGTCGACAAGCCTGAACCCCAATTATTCTGCCACTCATAAACCTGAATAAGATATGACATCTTAATGCACATAGCTTTACTGGAAAAATAACGTAAGTAATCTTTATATAATATATAAGTATATATAACACACGTTATATTTTATATAGAGGTAGCCCTTTTTGTAAACGATTTTTCTTCTTCAAACTATGTATTCTTTCTGATTCTGTTTTTGTCTAAAGTATAATTTGTATGTCCCTTTATTACTTAATATCTTCGATAAAATATAATCATTCTATCAAAAAATAAAAAAATGACAAAAAATGGAATATTTTTCTTTATAATTTATTTAAGCTTTGATCCATATATCGGAGCATTATACTATAGCTGTCAGTGCATTATAGCAGAAAAGGACATTGGTTTTCACTGATATAGAAATGCTAGTGTTTATTTTTTTTTATTTACAGATATAAGCGCTGCTGATATACTTTGGTCATCCTTGAGTAAAATATTTTAATCACAAATTTATTGAAATCAATCAAATTCATACTTTATAATTATGCCTAATTTGAATAAAAGAATAAATAAACTACATGTATGTAACTGCTTTTCCTTTTACAGGTCTTTTCGTTAAAAAAAGAACTACAAAAACTGCCAGTTTTTTTTTAATGACACTATATAGTCATATTATGGCCACCTATAGTGTGTATAAATTTAAACATAACTTATTTACTTTGTGTGAAGTCAAAACATGCTATTTTATTTTTACAAAGAAAAATGTAACAATTGAATCAAGTTTAAGCATAGAATATCTTTAAATATTTACAATAAACAATGCCTGTCTTCTGATCCCGCTGACTAGGTTTGGATCATATTTTCATATATATACAATGTATAATATATCATCAAGAGAGTATAAACTTACCTTAGACGCTAAAATGCAGTTAAATAATCCGATGAAAATGAGCAATTGTAATACTCGAAAATCCATGCTGAAATTTAAAGTTGTTGCTTTTTTACTGTTTTATTTTTGTTCTTTAAAACAACAGCGAGTCGTCAACCTTATGTAGATGTAATGCAGTCAACCTCTGACTAAATATATTCGGATTGTTTCGGATATATTCATTCAAAGCCTTGAGGACATGGTAGTGGTCAGGTAAGTGTGAAAGATAGTATTTGATGCAGACCCAGATAACGGACGCATTAAAGATACATCTGATTTTATCTTTAACAAATTTACAAATAACACTAAACTGGACATAAACAGAAAATTGCCTGCGGATCACACGTGACTTATGTTGTCCAAAAGATAATGTCCGAAAAGTTGTACCAAACCTGACCACAGCGGAGATGAAGCTGATATGTGATAAAAATAATGTGCCTGTGTTATGTTATGTGTGACAGATTACAAATATCATGTTAAAGGGGTACTCAGGCAAAATAATAAAAAAATTATCAAGATGATCTTATGAACTCAAATCACGCTAAAATGACATTTTTAATCCCAGCATGAAAAATCGTATTCATTCCATATATTTTGGGTTTGAAGCGTAAATATATCTATATATTATATTGAACAAAATTTAAAAGTCGACAGAATCACCGAGTAGTTTTAAAACAAGTTTTGTGACTTGAACAAATCCTGGAAGTTGCAATAACATATATTGTGGATATTATTTGATTGAAACAAGTCCAAGTCATTCATTTGACATGTTCTTTGACTTTTCCAAAGGTCACTGTGGCAACTTTTTTGAACTCTTTACGCTCTAACCTGCTCCGCGTGGGTCAGGTTAGAAAACCATCCTATAATACTTTATAATGAGAAAAGATTTGTTCATGTGACTGCCTTGTGTATTTATTTTGAGGACATTTACAGAATATTGAATGAAAAATTCAAAACGAGGCAATGAAAAAATTGACAATGTCCCCCTTTAAAACTTAAAAAGAAGAAATAGAAAGAATCTGGTCAGTGAATTTTGAATATATTTGCATTTGAAACAAGCTACTGTTATATCATGCGGCAAATGTAAAATACGAAATAAGAAATATTAGGTTACAAATAATCTTACGCCTACACTTGAAACTAGATAAAAGTAAATATTTCGCTTCATAGTAATGATCAAGAAAAACAAATTGTATGATTTGTTATGCGTTTGCTTTAGATAAAATATTGTTCAATATTTTGTGATAAAAAATACTTATTTATGAAAGCCTTAGCATGCTTGCTGACGGAAACTCGTTCTACCCATGTGACAAGTGACAAAAAAAGCACACACAAGCAAACAGGCACGCTAGTCTGGTTTGCACTGTTGTTCGCTTTTTCATTAAGTAATTTCTATTTTGCAACAAAGTGATGAATGATTCTATCCAGATTGAAACATGGACAAATCCATTCAAGAAATTAAGCGTTATAAATTTATGGTTTACGCACGAACGTACCAACCGCTACTGATTCTTCAATTACGCTATCATATAAATTTTATTGCTGTTTAAAGTAAAGATATTACACTTACAAGATATTTATTTATTTCGTAATATTTTGACCTTGAATACAAAATAGAGTAAATCTATGAATATTACTTTGTCTGATGCCTATATCTGTCAGTTCCCACTTTAAAATTCATGATTTTACGATAATTGTTCTCGAAAAAGGTATTACAATGTATCTCGACAATACAAAACTTTTAGTCTCTCCTGGTTTAAAAATAAGCAACATGATTGTGCATTGAGTTTAAACAAATGAAAACTATTTTTTTTTATTTATTTCCAAATGTAAGAATAAGCATTAAGTCATACATTTATTAATGTAAACAGTTTAGCAATGTGTGTTTAATGTAATCTTGTCTTTACAATAGATTGTACTTTCTGGGCAAAATTTACATATAACATGTAGTAATTCTAGTGATATATGACGATTGAGTTCTGTTTTCAGCAGCCGAAAATTTGTAAGAACGCTCGTAAGAGATGAAATAAAACAGATATAAAATGATAAGTTCAAAGGCTCTGTGCCTGGAATGTTCTGCGAGCGTCTGATACGATATGATTACCTGAAAGCGTTTACTACCAGCGTATAACTCCCGTATAACTCTCCCATTCTTAACACGTGCGAAATGTGCGGAAAGAAATTTCTTTTTTCTCTTTCTCTTTTGTGTACACTTGCACTGGATAATAGGACAAAAACGCGGTGTATCTTTTCAATTTTTCTTCTACATCTAGCATAAAATTGATATCGTATAGTTAATGATAGATTCTAAAGATGTAGCGTTTATATTTAAGAGTACATAAAATACGATGCGAACTGAAGGATAAAACCGGAATTTGTGTGTCGGACTTTTTGCATTTCTTTACATCAAACTCGGCGATAACATTGTCTCTCTGCACCATTCCATTGTACGTGAATTGAGGAGTTTACAACTATTCCAAGACAAGATTATGGCAGGTAATTTTGTCAATTTATGCTTTATGATAAAATCTGTGTTTCAAATGATAACACTTCCTCTAGACATAAACCAGACATTCAATATTCATCATTTGCATGTAATGTATTTCTACCCTAAAAAAACCCACAAAGAAATTGTTGGTTTTAACAAGAAGGATCTACATGTACAGGAACGGAACAGTAATTAATCGTCGAAAGAAAACAACGAGTAGCCTATTTATCTCAGACGGTTATTAAAATGTGTACATAATTTCTTTTTTATACATGAAAATGTATCCTAATACACTTGTCTAAATAGTTCCGCTTGTAAACATCAGTGGTGTTTTTTCCGGCATTAATATGTTTAGCAGACGCGCGTGCAATTTCCCTCCCATCTCTATGATGAAATATTCCTGTTGATGTTAGGGCCGTTTTACACCAACGCTTGTCATTACAATATCCTTCATTTTCATTCATTAATTCTGAGAAATATCACTGTGAGACGAAAGCTATCATTTAATTGTTTATCGCTAGCGGAAATACGTGCTACTATTTTCCGCGGTTTAAGTGAAATGATTTGTAAATGCCTTATTACAAACCAGTGGGTCGTTCCGGCACCCTATGTGTACAATGTATCCACATATATCAGAAGTCTTAAAATGTATTTTAACATCTGAGTTTTTATGGCAGCAGAGTGAGTTTTTGCGTCCGTTTGAACACGTCAAATTGAATTAAAATACTTTTTTTTCAAACAAGTCATTAAATTATAAACACAAGTAACCTTAATGCCAGTCGTCGGATACCCACGGCCAAACCATTAACATTTATTCTATTTGATTGGCATGTTATGTGACATGTTTATCAATACGTGGGTATCCGACGATGCCTTAATGCATACATTGGTAAGTTTTTTTAAAAGGCAAAACATTGCATTACAAAATATTACAGATATGTCTTCATCGGTCCGTACTGCTTTACAACATATATAATAGATCATAAGATTATTAAATTCAAACGCAATTCAGTAAAAAGTCTCTGAAACATTGGTGTTTTCCTTACTATATTTACCTTCTCATCCTCATTTTCTCTACAATTCATTATGTAAAAAACCAGGATTTTCCTAAATCAAGAAGTAAACTCAGTGCATTTGAAACAATTTTTGAGATGGAGTCAAATCCAACAGGAGTCTTAGAAGACATGCCTGACTGTATTATTTATTATTCTGGTTGTACTAGTTGATTAATAAAATTGAAAAGAACATGTTCCTTAAAAATAATCAAGTTACCCACTTTTTTGTTTACTCGATTAATGATTTAAATAGGAAACAATTCAGTTTGTTCATTGAAGATTTACTGATAAGCCTAAAGGCTGGTGAAGCTCTCTATGTTTTAAGTTTTATACTGCAGTGATGAAGATATAAACAAACATATGTATGACTCAGCGAAAGATAAATTCTTGGCAGGAAACGAACTATGTTTTATAGTTTTCGTGTAGAAATGACTTTTGAAATGACTTTGAAATACACAAATTCTATTATATTTTAATATAAAGATAATATAAAGATAACTGTCTTCTTACGTCATTTCTTAAGACAGTTAATGGTTAAATAAAGTCAGACACTGTATTTACTCATATAGATAACATCTACTGTTTATGTTTAACGATAAAAAAGTGTTTTCTGAATCAGACTGATTATTTTGATACTGATTACGTAACAGATGTTTTGGAGAAGTGTAAAACTTGAGGTCTAGATGATGTGAATATTTCATGTTTCGCGCACGTCAAGAAGATAACAGTGTTAATATACTAATACTTGCTTAATAAACCGTGCTGCTGTTGTTTTTGTTAGTTTTGTTGTTTTGCTTGCAGCTGATTGCTACATTTAATACCAAGAACGAATGAAGTATATTAATTTACCTGCTTTAACCATACTTGAAGTAGAAATAAAATTAATTGTTATTCTTTATTTAAATGCTACCTGAATCTAACACATTTGACGTAGCGATGTAATAAATATTAAGAGCAAGCAAACCTGCAAAAGCTTACTATGATTCGATTACAAGTTTGCATTGACCGAAACTCCGTACTTCATAACATACTATGAAGATAATACAGACGAAATTCCTACGAAAAATGATATCATTATTCTAAACTACGGAGCTAATTAAAACGAAAAGGGACCGAGAGACCGTCACTATCCAGCTTTAAAATAAATGAATGAAAAAACTGTGAAAACGTGTGCCCTACAATAAATGTTCACACCGTAAAAAAAGGATACATGTAAAGGTAATGTATTCAAAACACGGCAAAGTTAAAGGAGATCCACTGACGTCAAAAAAGCTAAATATACAATTTGTATTTTTTATTCATAGTTCCAAGTCACGGATTAAGATCCGAGTTGAAGTGAAGCACTTAAAATATAAACATTTGTGAAGAATAATAAAAAAAATACTCGTATACACGTTATAAATTTGAAAATCATAGTTAGTGCAATTGATAGGTTTATTGCCCTATTTGAGTGAAAAATATT